TGAAAGAAGGATGACCAAGACGAAGATGATATAACCATATCTTATTTTTATTAGAAAGAGAAGACTCAAAAAGCAGAGACAACGGAATAGGATCCTTAGTGCTGTTTTTCCCATCGGGTTCCTGAAGAAAGTATAGCCCATTCCTCTCCCCAGCAAGTCCAATCATCGTCCCCATGCTTTGGTCCTGAAATTTACGAAGTGCAGAAGAAAAGGTTACCATACAGTTCAAATCCTTTGTAAGCTTGTGAATTGCAACTAGATTGGTTGACAATTTCGGCACATGCAGAATATTTTTTAAAACAAAGTTCTGATTTATAACTATATCCCCTCGACCAGCATCTGTAACCAGTGTTCCATCAGCAGTAGTAATTTTCTTATTACTAGGACAAGGACGGTAAGAGACAACCCCATGAGATGATTGGGTCATATGATCCATAGCCCCGGAATCCACTACTACCCAAGTTCCTTTTGAGATCGACACATTAAGTGCATAGGGCTGAGAGTTACCTGAAAAAGCCAAGGAACAAGTACATGCACCACTCGTAGGTTTCTCTAATGTCCCCAAAAATTATCGCAGCTTCTCAATCTCTTCTCTATTGAACTCAGATCGCTCTTGAGAGAATTTTCCTCCTCCTCCTAATTGTGCCAAGGTAAAATGTGCCTGTCCTTGCCCTCCTCCTTAATTACTCTTTGCTGTCCAAGAAGTATTTAGAGTATTTTAGGGCTAACCATGGAGTTTCTAGCACTTCTCCCTGCTGTGTCGCGGCTTCTTACAGTAGGTACACCATAAAGAGTCTTTATTACCTGCTCTTGATCCTTCTGACAGCCAATTATTTCTTCCTACTCCACTGGAATAGGCATTCGATTGCTGCTGGTCTGGTTTCAGAGCTCTCAGATTTGCAGCTTTTGTAACCAAGGCTGAACCATTTGCCAATTGAGGCTCCATCATAACTCCTCTTCGTCCTTCTTATCCACGAATTATTGCAATTGTTTCATTGAGTGAAGGAATTTCTTCCTTTCCTAACACTTGCACTCGGACAGGATCGAACTCAACGTTCAATCCGGCAAGCAAGGTGTAAATTCTCTCTTTTTCCATATAAATGTTAAGAAGGGCAGCATCACCGCTGCCCTTCTTCTCAATACACTGATAATGATCCAATTTTTGCCATAAGTTTTGTAAAGTCTGAGCATATTCAATGACCGAGCAGTTACATTGTTTGGTAGATGAGATTTTGTCTTAATCTCATAGATTTGTGCAGCATCTCGGACTTTAGAATAGGTATACCTGCAGGACTCCCAAATCTCCTTTGTTGTTGTCAAAAACATGCAAGTATCGCTGACTCCTGGCATCATTGAATTCCATAACCAGGACATCACCGTCGAGTCTTCTTCATCCCAAGCAGTGAACTTCAGATCATCCGGTTTTGGTCCCGTCCCAAGAAGATGACTCTATTTGCCCTTCCCTTTCAAGAAGGTTTGAACAAAATGAGACCACTTCAAATAGTTTTTTCCATTGAGACAGAAACCTCGTTGAATATTTTGCAACTCTCCTACTGCAGTGTTGATGACTTCATTAGAGACTTGCTGATTGATAGATTCAGAAACCTTACTCATGATTTTGGACAGAAGTGGAAAGAAATCTGGGCTCAAGAAGACTAATTTGAAAAGGAAAAAATGGTTCTGGAAAAAATGACAAAGCAGGACGGAAAAAACAGAACCAGAAGAAGAAAAGAAAATGGCAATTTTGGCCAGAAAAATAAAATAACTAGAACCTTTTTCCAGAAACCTTATATGCGGCAATGCAGGCCACAAATTTACACGGATTCCCAGAGAGCATTTAGCTCTGATACCATGTGAAATAATGGGAATATTATATTTATTTAGCAACGTACAGGGAAAAAATATATAGGCAAACAACAGCCGACAAATCTGGAATATTGACTCCTAGAATACAATCCCTATAAATCAGGGATATTAGCTAGCAGAATATACATTACAGCTGTAATACAAGTCTTCTCCCCATCTAGTGAGCTGTAAAATCCGCACAACCTATTTATACCATAATTACTGATTCTAACAGGGTTTGTGGGGAATAGAGAGAGGCATGCACAAGGAGAAGTTTATTATTGTTTTGCTAATAAGAGATATTTGAGCACCTGACTAATCCTCCCAAATACATACAGCCCTCCAATTCCACATTTATTAGGTAATCACCAGGTTAAATCATAGGTATAACGCAAAGGAGGACAACTCAAACTAAGCACCTCCACATCTTAACATGGTGCCCTGGAAACAGTTTTTGTTGAAATATACCAAAGGCTCCTAACCAGTCTCAAAATTTTGATTCACAGTGAAGTAAAATTCTCATGTAACTATGGTTCCATAATTTTTAAAGTTAAACAAGAGCCAAAAGGATGCATTAATAAAAATCAACAACATAATATGACTGGAAGTATGCTTACACATTAAAATTCATAGCAAGAGTATCTGAGAGTATTACCCCATGCAGACTGGCAGATGCAGTGAAATGTCTCTCTCTCAACCAACTCATAATTGCTTTTGTTTCGGGTTGTCGCGTGTCCACATCATCATTCAGAGGAAAGAACTAAGTCATTTCATGTCAGTCTACGTTTTTCATAATCAGTTACACCAAATCAAGCAGAGAATAAAATTAAACCAAATGAAATATAACAATAGAATCTTGTCAAAAGAAGAAGAAGAAAAAAATCACAAATCTAGAAATAGGAAGTGTTGTAAATAAGAGCAAGAAAATAGAAGAGAAGATTTCTTGTACATCTCTTAGATGTGAGTACATGTGGGTTTATATAGGAACCCAAGACAAACAATCAGTACATTAATTTAGCCAATTATCAGAAATTAAGCTAATCAAAATCCTATAATCAAGCTAGCAGATTTTATGCATCAGAATATTCCTATAATCAAGCTAGCAGATTACATGTAGCAGAATAGTCAACTTTCCTATTTAATTACAGGCTGTAAACAGCTTATATTCATGACACTCCCCCTCAATTTGGAGAGTAGATATCAACAACTCCCGGCTTGCTGCAAATAAAGTCGAATGCATTCTTTGGAAGAGCTTTAGTGAAGATGTCAGCTAGCTGATTGCAAGAGGGCACAAAAGGAGTCACAATCTCATTTGAAGCCACCTTAGAACGAATGAAATGACAATCCACTTCAATGTGCTTTGTCCGTTCATGAAAAACTGGATTGCCAGCAATATGAATGGCGGCCTAGTTGTCACAGTAGAGAGGAGTTGGATCTTGCACTGAGATTCCAAACTCTTGTAGAAGGCTTCTCAACCAAGTTAGCTCACAAGTTGTGTGAGCCATTGCACGGTATTTAGCCTCTCGAGCAACAACTAATTGCTTCTTACTTCTCCAAGTCACAAGATTACCCCCAATAAAAGTACAATAACCCATAGTTGATCTTCTATATGAGGGAGAACATGCCCAGTCTGCATCAGTATACCCTTCAATGCGAAGATGTCGAAGATTTCCTGAAGATTGGTAAAGAAGACCATGGCCTTGAGCACCTTTAAGGTACTTTAGAATGTGTACAACTGCATTTATGTGAGGAACCCATGGGTTGGTCATGAATTGATTCACCACACTAATTGCATATGAAATATCTGGTCGAGTGATAGTCAGGTAAATCAGCTTACCTACTAGTCATCATCAACAAAGTCACCAACACCAGACATCAATTTCTGATTAGCCTCCATAGGTGTAGCAACAGGTTTAGCTCCAAGATGACCTATACCTCTCAAAATAGCAAGAACATATTTTCGTTGAGACAAATAAACGCCTTTCTTTGATCTCGCAACTTCAATACGAAGAAAATAACGAAGCTTGCCCAAATCTTTAGTAACAAAGTTTGGACCAAGATGACCAATCAAAGTCTGAATGCCCTTACCGTCACTTCCAGTAATCACAATGTCATCCACATAGATGACCAATATCACAATACCATGTTTTGTCTTCGTAAAGAACATAGAGTGATCAACCTGACATCTAGTCATTCCATGAGTAACCACAACTTTGCTGAATTTGTCAAACCATGCTCAAGGAGACTATTTGAGTCCATAAATAAATTTCTGAAGATGACAAACACACTCCCCCTTGGACTCAAACCTAGGCGGTTGAGCCATGTACACCGTCTCACTCAAATCTTTATGCAAGAAGGCATTCTTAACATCAAGTTGATTAAGGGGCCAACCAAGATTTGCGGCAAGAGAGATAATAATACGAATTGAGTTTAGCTTGGCCACAGGAGAAAAAGTTTCAGTGTAATCAAGACCATAGGTTTGAGTAAAGCCCTTAGCAACAAGATGAGCTTTGAACCTGTCAACAGTACCATTTGGATTTTGCTTCATTGTGAAAATCCGTCACCAACCAACAATGTGTGCACCTGCGGGCTTAGGAACAAGCATCCAAGTATTATTCAAGTGCAAAGCATGCATTTCATCCTCCATTATTTTTCGCCAACCAGGATGGGAGAGGGCCTCCTTATATGTCTTAGGAACAGAGACAGAAGATAAGGATATTGTTAAAGCCTTAAATGAAGGAGATAAATGATCATAAGATACAAAATTAGAGAAAGGGTGCTTAATACAAGACCTTTTACCTTTACGAATGGCAATGGGAATGTCGGGACTAGATGGAGGAGTAGGATCCGCAGGCACCGAGGAGAGAAATGGAGGATTTGAGGATGGTGCTACTGGTGCTATAATTGGTTCAGATGGGCAATGAAAAGACCACTAACGTTTATGAACATAGACCTTAAGATATGAAGGGATGAGCCTATTAGGATATGATGGGACGGAAAGAATAGGTAGGGGCCGAACAAACTCTTGGAGTAAAGGCTCTCGCAGTTGACAACCCTCTGTATAGTAATAGGGAACATTTTCAAAGAAAGTCACATCAGCACATACAAAATGTTTTAATGTAGGACTATAGCATCGGTACGCTTTTTGAGTACAATAATAACCAAGAAATATACATTTGTGTGCAAGAGGGTAAGTTTATCATGTTTAGGATTTAAATTATGGACAAAGCAAATACATCCAAATACCTTTGGAGGGAGACAGAAATGATCTTTATTAGGGAAGAACATTTTAAAAGGTGATTTCCCTTTAAGAACCCAAGATGGCATTCTATTTAAAAGGTATACTGCTGTGAGAACAGCATCCCCCCAAAGATGTTAAGGCACATTCATTTAAAGCATGAGTGCACGGGCAACAGCAAGGATTGAACCATTCTTTCGTTCAGCAACTACATTTTGTTTAGGTGTATCAACACATGAGATTTGATGAGTGATACCCCTTGACTCAAAGAAATGCTAAAAGCTATGAACTTTTTACTCGAGCATTATCAGTACGAAGAATGAGCAACTTCGCATTAAATTGATTAGTGATTTCAGCATAAAATGATTTAAATGCATCAAACACTTGAGAGCGATCTTTAAGAACATATAACCAAGTCAAATGGGAATGATCATCAATATAAGAAATGAAATAGCGTGCACCAGACAAACCAGTTGTTCTAGCTAGACCCCAAACATTAGAGTGAACCAACTCAAAAAGATGTAAACAAGGACCATCAAGTCAACATTTAAAAGTGGCTCGATGATGTTTACTGAGCTCACACATTTCGCAATTAAAAGTAGAAAACGAAGGTAGAAGGGGCTAAAAGACGCAGATTGGTAGTTAATGGATGTCCAAGTCTACAGTGCCACTGATATGGAGAAGTCATGGTATAAAAGGCAGAGGAAGTTGATGTGGGAAAGGGTTGGAAGTAGTAGAGACCATCCTTTTCATATCCCCCACCAATCGTCCTCTTCGTCTTTAGATCCTAAAAAACACAATAAGAAGGATAAAAGGTGATGGAACGATTAAAAGCAAAGGTAATTCTATGAACAGATAATAAATTAAAAGGAAATTGAGGTAGGTATAAAACAGAAGAGAAAGTTAGACGAGGGGTGGTAACTATGCCAACCCCTTGAACTAGAGATTTAGAACAATTAGCAAATGTAACAAATGAAGGAGAGGGAGTGATTGAAAGATTAGAAAGAACAGAGGGATTACAAGTCATCTGATCAGAGGCTCAAGAATCAATAATCCATGGCTAATTGGATGAGGAATGGAGGCAAGTGTTACCTGAAGCACCCAAGGTGGCGGTTGAGGTAGATGAAACATGAGTGCGCGCCATCAGTGAGTTATACTCTACTTTCGAAAGAGCTACAGTCTCTTCATCAGCAGAAGTGGAGATCTCCCCCTCAACAGCAGCATGACTAGCCCCTACGGGCTTGCCATGGAGTTTCCAACATTTGTCAACAGTACGATTGGTGCGATTACAATGAGTACATTTCTTGAGGCCACTGTGACTACCTTGAAAATTTCGACCTTTATTCGAAACATGTCCCCCACGACCATTATGGAAATTATCAGAGCGCCCAATGGGAGCTGCAAGGGCAGAGCGATCGGCTTTTTCTGGAGCATATAGGTTGGCCCGCCGAACACGATTATAGGCCTCACTAGCAAATGGCAAAAGTGTACCAACGAGAATTTGAGAACTAACAGGAGCAAATTCGGGTCAAAGTCCAAAAAGAAATTTTGCCACGCGAAATTCTTCCCTGTATCGTTTTTGAGTCTCCATTTCAGTAGTCAATGGCTAATACACATTCAATTCCTCCCACATACCTTTCAAGGTGGAGTAGTAATCTTCAACAGAGCGATCTCCTTGTATAGTGGAAAAAAGATCCTCATAAAGCTGATGAATCCGAGAGATGTTTTGCTCAGACGAATACATCTCCTTCAGGTCATCCCAAATCTCTTTAGAGGTTTCAAGAAAAGAGACATTGTTGAAGACCTCAGGCTCCATATTATTCCATAACTAAGTCATAATTTGGGCATCTTCTTGTTCCCAAGCATCAACCAATTTGGCATCAATAGGTTTGGTTGACTTAAGAGAACTTCCCTCGAGCTTTCAAAGTAACTTGGACAGCTCAGGCCAAATGAAGGTAATTGGGACCCTTGAGTTTGATATTGGTCATGGAACCAAAGAACAAAGAATAGGATCCAAGCAAGGAGATCAACAACAGGATTCGTTCTAAGCAAGGCTATGCTATACCATAGAGTCGATGAAGTTGTATTTTTTTTTTTTTTTTCCTTTTTTTTTTTAAATAACAAAACAAATAATATATATATTTTTTTTTTATAAGTAAAATTTTTAGAAAAGCGTTCAAAAAGGGAATGCGTCCCTAATACACAAAAAACGAAGACCTAAGGACCATCAGAGTCCAATAGATCAAATAAATCATCAATCGAGGATCAAGCGCTACCTCTTACATAACAGAAAAGAGAACGAAGAATATGAGATTTTAAGTTTGCTAGAGACGATTCATTTCCTTCAAAATTTATGTTATTTCTCTCTCTCCAAATACACCACCAAACACAGTGTGGGATGATCCTCCAAAAATCACGTACATGACCTTTAATAGGGCATCTTCTCCATGCGTTATTTAATTGAATAGAATGCTTAGGCATTACCCACTGAACGCCAAAAATACTAAATATGAGATTCCAAT